CCATACTCAGTAAACCGATGACCCAAAAACAAAACTTCACTCTCAGCAAATTTACATTTTCTAGAGTTAAACTTAATATTAAAATCCTTAGCTCTTTTTAATACTTCCTTTAATCTTAAATCATGTGTTTGTTTATCAGGAGCACCTATGCAAATGTCATCTATGTAGGTGACTACACCATCAATACCTTCAAATATTTGAGATACAGTAGAATGAAATATATCCGGTGCACTTGAGATACCATATGGCAAACGAAGGTATCTATATCTACCAAAAGGTGTATTAAACGTACACAACTTGCTACTAATATTATCCAACTTAAGCATCCAAAATGCACTGCTTGCATCAAGAGTTGAAAATATCTTACAATTATTAAACTTTGATGACACTTCATCTATAGTTGGCATTTGACAGTGTGTTCTTTGTATATACTTATTCAGGTTTCTTGGATCTAATACTACCTTTAGTCCAGAATTTTTTTTGTTTATCAAAACTAAACTGTGAACCCATTCTGTAGGTTCATTTTCTTTTACAATAATTCCATTAGCTTCCATTAATTCAAGTTCATTTTTCAAAGGATTTAACAAAGCGAATGGTACTCTACGACATGGTTCAATAATAGGCTTAGCATCTTCACTTAATGACAAATGAACTGTTGTAGGAATGTTACCAATACTACCATCAAAAAGTGAGCTATATTCATTCAAAATGCTACTAACAGAATGTACCCTTTCATTAGGCCTATGCATATTTTGACCTAGAACAATATTATTTACACTTTGGTTCTTAACATCAGACAATACCTGACCGTTGTAGGCTGCTATAAGACCTAACACGCGACAAGAATTTAAGCCTAAAATTGGCGAACATTTCACATCAACTATTACAAAAGTAATACAGAACATTTTCCTGTTGAAAGAGCAATCTAAATCTACAATACCTAGTACCGGTATTTTTTCACCAGTTAGTGTACTAAGATTTATATTTGAGGTGCGTATTAATGCTTTTGATAGGCCTAGCCTATTAAACAAATCAATTGGGATGATATTTGTCTGAGCACCTGTATCTATTTTAAAAGATATTGTGTGTTCCCTAATGTTCAAATTCTCTAGCCATTCATTAGCCCTGGATTTACACATGTAATTTTTAGGAACAGAATCATTAACTGAACATATATTACTGAATAAAAAGTTTTTGTCAATCACGTAATTAGATATAGATTCAGACGTGAGCGATACCGTATCAATTGAAAAATATTCTTGTGCACAAGTACTTTTAGAAGAACTGTCTTGCCTACCTTGCCTTACATCTCTCGAATTAGAATCTAAACTTAGGCCTACTTCACAAACCTTTTTGGCTGATTTGCATACACTGGCAAAGTGGTTGTTTTTACCGCACTTATAGCACACTAAGCCATACGCAGAGCACTTGTTAATACCGTGATTTTTCCCACAATTACGGCAGTTTGAAATAAACTTCTTAGCACTTGTACTTTTGTTAGGCCTACCTGTCCCAGTTGATTTCTGCTGTGACGGTGGATGAAATTTGTTCCGTTGGTCCTGATGAACCTGTTTCTGTCTGAACGTTTGTGGTTGTTGGTAACCCCTCTCTCGTTGCTTATGGACGTTTACTGTATGGACATTATGTTCTGCTTCAAGTTCTCTGATGTGTTGTTTAGACAGTTCAGCAGCTTTACAGATTGCTAAAGTCTTCTCCAAGTTAATCTCCGGCTCTCTCAATAATCGTTCCCTGATATTCTGGTTTTGAGAGTTAAGCCCTGATATTAAGACATCGCAAACAAGACTTTCGCGGACAGAGTCAAATTCACAAGCGAGGCTCAAGTTAACTAAGTCTGTATAGAAACTATCGATGGATTCAGATGGCAGCTGTTTCCTATTTAGAAATTTATGTCTCAGAACCGTGAGGTTTTTCTTAGGCGAGAAATGGTTTTCAAATTTACTTACCACCACGTCGTACTTTTTTGCATCTTCGGATGAGAGGTTGAACGAATTGAAAATGTCTATGCATTTGTCACCCAAATTATGTAGTAGTAGAGCAACCTTCCTAGCGTCATTTTCAGAATTTAGGTTAGAAGCCAAGAGATAAATCTCAAATTTCTGATACCAGTGCTTCCAATTTTCGGCTAAATTGCCCTCGAAATTAAAATTCTGAAGATTGCATGGAACCATTGTGAAATTTTCAGTTTTTCTAGACACAGTCCTTTGTTCAGTTTGTTGAAGCACGTTTTCATCTTCCGACTCACTCATTGTTATAACACATTTTTATGTTAATTTATTACTCACGCACTTGAATTTATTTGTAACCCACTTATAAGACACCATGTTTCATGTTTTAAATAAAAACACAATTGAAGTTTCAATACTATTTATTATAAATTGTAATTAACATCGACAGAAATACATTTAGGCTGCAGTTAATGAGCCGACATCTTTTATTCTCAATCGGAAATCAAATAATCAAATACACTTAAAAGAGAATACACAAAGACCAAAGAGTAATACCTTTAAACATGGACTTCACTATATACATATATCAACAATAACCATTTAAGTTAAACATATCTACTAAACTCTCCTTTATATTTACTTCTGTCAAAACAATTACATCCAGGTATTTTAAACTAGTGTCAAACAACAAAATGAACTCATTCCAATGTTTTTTAAGAGATGCAATATTTAAATGAAAAAAGGTTAAACCATTATCAAAGTTGTGTTTCTTTGCGCAAATTATTAATTCTGCTATGTCTTGGCAGCTAACTGATTTTATCTCATCATCATCATTTATAGCTCATAACTATGTTTTGCTATAAACTAATTTACTTTTATGACCATTATACAATAAAAATGTCACTGAGCTTTTGGTATATTTGGTCTTTCTAGAAAAAAATTAAAAAACTCAAAAAATAGAAAAAAGCCAATAAAATCTTTTTAAGTTTGTATAACTCTGAAAAAACTTACCTGAGACTCTAAAAATCGTTATGTTTGTATAGAGGTGTGCTTCTTTTGTGTATAAAACATTAAAATATGACGATATTTTAATTTTTGAAATTTTTATGATAGAAATCATAAACGTGATGGTCAGGGACAAGCGGTACGGTCGTGAATTGTCTGGAATAATCTAAATCTTTCCAAACAATCCTTCAATTATACTGTTAGTTATAATAAAACTATGTGTTTCAATTGAACTAAACTGTTCAATTTACAATTATATTAAAGTTATTGTCACGACCAAACACACTATAATCCATAAGGCTGGATTGGTCGTGAAAAAAACCGCGATGGTCGTGAAACTTTGGTCGTGAAATTACGTGTTATTTGGCTCTGTTCTGGCAGTAGCCCTGCACCTCATGTTCGAGGATACAAAGTGGACTTCTAGGTTAATCTAGCAATTGAAATATCTTATAAACAAAAATTAACACCATGTATACTTCATCGAATGACTACGTACGGTCATGGACACACCAAAATTACAAAAAACACTATCTTTCCTTTATTAATCTTGTAATTCCTCCTTTCAACTCAAAACGACCGGCACTACAATCCTGACGTACACCCCAAACTAGTCTCTAAAACCAACTGACTCCATCGACGCCAGGCTTGCCACTGTCGTGCTCCAAAGTTGAAAATTTTTCCCAAATGGTCGTGACGCCAAATCGAGGGACAGACTTATTTTTTCATGGTAGTCAGTCTGCAATGACAATAAAATTATAATATGCTCCTTTTTTGTAAGTTTAATAACCATTGATGACATAAAAATATGGCTTTATATATTTCGGCATGAATAATTGGTCTAAAAACAGCGTGAAAGTTGGAAAATGTACCCTAGGGACACGTCATGGTCGTGAATTTCGAGACTTTAAAAATACGAAAAAAATAGACCCAGTGGGGCGGATTCCTGAGAGACTTTTTTAACGCCATATAGATGTTGGCACTCACCGGTATGGTCTTTATCACCATGCAAAATTTGAAAACGATTGATTCAGCCGTCTAGGAGGAGTTTGCGTATTACGAAATGCATAAGAGTCGACGTATAAGAGCTATGGTGTGTCGTCTGTATTCCCATAGTATCCATATGGATACTGTTTTTCTTTTGTATTTTCTTCGATATAAGTCTGTTTTCATCTTTAGTCTGCACAGTGATAAATATAGGCCTATAAGTGTTGTAATGCTTGTTTCAGTCCGATATTAGAAATCATAAAATATAATCATGATGTGTTTTACAGATGAATGACAATGAAGAAATTGACGAGTGGCTTATGATGCCATCTAGTGATATTGTAGTAAAGTTTTTTACATAATATGTCTATTTGTACTCATTCTAAATGAATTTGTTTTAATTGATGAACAAGTAACTTATTTTTCAATTTGACACAACTTTTAAGAAACTTGTATCCATATGGATTCTATGGGAGTGTCAAAGAAAAATTAAAATTATTAACGTATGAAAATTAGCGAACAATGGTACTTAAGGTTGCCATGGTATCCATATGGATACATATTTCTAACTTTAAATTCTATTAGGGAAATTTGCAAAAAAACACATTTTTAGCCTTAAAATACAAAAAATAAAAAGAAAATTCACAATAAACTTTTTTGTTATTAAATTTCATAATTCCGGGAAGTAAAGGGATATGCGACGTTTGGTCTATTTCAAGAAAACCATGATAATTTTCACTGTTGTCTTTGCTGTAGACCGGGCGTCACAAATGTGCAACATTACAAAAGGTTATAAAAAATACAAAAAAAAAACAAGAATAAATTATTTACAATCACAATTGTAGCACATTACAATGTAAATGATCACTGTTTTACAGGTTTTCACCCGTGGTCTGTGTGTACTGTTAACCAAGTGACAGCCGGTCTATGTGTAAGATTCAAATGTATACCTCGGTATGTGGCAATGACTGCGGCGTTGCATATATGCGACACTCAGTAGCGAATGTGTTAAGCATACAAGTTTTAAATTTTTGTATGTTTCAGACAACTCCAAAAGATGTATGGAGGAGGACGCAGGGAGGTCCCCTAAAATATTTAAAAAAACTACAACAGCTGGAAATGTCACAAAATGCTGCAATGTCAGTGGAAAGCACACTTGTGTTTTTCGGCAAGGGCCAGTATCTTTAACGGCCCTTGCACATAGTCTGTGCGCCATGTCAAGTAAGTGTACCTAATTTTGTGTGTCTTTTATAATTATTTATTATGCTTTTTAATCAAAATCCAGGTGAGTTAGCTGTGCCGTCTTTATCCAAGTTCGATGATTCTTTACTACTTGAGTTATCTTTTTGGTTTTAGGCCACTTAAATAGCCTAGGCTAACTGTTTGCACTGTGGAATAAAACATAGACTCAAAGGGTTGGTTATTTAACTCACAGTTTCACCATAAAAATGTTTCTGACTTGTTTCACATTTTAAATTCACATTTTAAATAAAAAACACAATTTAAGTTTCAATACTATTTATTATAAATTTTAATTAACATTGACAGAAATACATTTAGGCTGCAGTTAATGAGCCGACATCTCTGAATCAGAAATCAAATACACTCAAAAGAGAATACACAAAGACCAAAGAGTAATACCTCTAAACATGGACTTCACTATAAACATATATCACCATCCCCTCTCTTTTACAAAATTGAAAATTTTAACTTTCCAAAATACAACTTTAACATTTTCCTTTCAAGTCTAACAAAATATACACCAAAACCTAATCATAAGAAAACCGCTTTGGATTTCTTATCAATCTACCCTTTCGGCTTACACAACCATCAAAACTTTTAACAATTTGTTCTTCTGATGAAATTCTAAGAGTTAGGTCTACTGGTCTTTGAAACAACACGGGACTAATTTGCGGAGAAATAAGGCTATTACCATTAGTAGGCCTACCTGACAAACTGATTTGTGAATCTGACTTAGGACTTGTTTCAGGCATTATGGTTTCATTACCTGCATCATTAGACAAATTTGGCCTAATCATCTTCCTATTTCTTACAAACATTTTATCTTTCTCATCAGACAAAACATAGGATCTGGGGATTCTATTTTTTTCTACTACTTTTCCTGATGTCCAAGGTGAATCAACAGTTTTCTTAAAATACACTTTGTCTCCTATATTTAAAGAGGGTAACTCTTTGCTATTTCTATCATAGTACTTTTTAATACAATTTTTTCTCTTGTCTAACACAATTTTGTTAGGTTTTGTGTTTTGTTACTTTAGGCTGCAAACTACTTTTAGACAGTGGCAATAGGCCATTGAGTTTTCTACTAAACATTAATTCTGCTGGTGAAGGTTGATATTGTTTACTAGTGTTACGATAACTTAACAATGCAAGATACACATCAGACTTAGATGCTTTTGTTTTCTTCAGTACATTTTTCGCTATTTTGACACCTGACTTAGATTGAACATTAGATTGAAAGTGTTTTGGACTAACTATCACTAGCTTAAAATCTTACAACACAGAAAACTCGTGAAAAGCGTTAGAAGTGAATTGACTTCCTGAATCAACTACTATAGTAACAGGAATTCCGTGGCGAGCAAATATTGATTTGCATTTCTCGATTACAGTTTTTGAGGTTATGTCTGACAAAGATACTAACTCAATATATTTAGAATAATAGTCCATTAGTACAAGAAAATATTGGTTATCAAACTCAAAAATGTCACCTGACACTTTATGCCAAGGCAAATCTGGTACATCATGAAACAACAACGGTTATTTTGCATTCATAGGCTTAAACTTAGACAAACACACTACATTTATTTACTAAACTTTCAATGTCTTTATGTAAGGTGGGCCAATACAATAAATTGTGTGCCCTAATCTCACACGTTTGTTTTCCTAAATGGCCACAATGCAAAATTTCAAGCATAATTTTATGAAGCGAACTATAGGTACCACAATAGATTGATTTTTGAAAACAAGATCATCTACAACATGAAGATCATGTTTAATACTCCAAAATGGTAAAACCATATTACTGATTTCAGGCTTTTGAGGCCAACCTTTAGATATATATATCTTTAAAATACCTAGACATTCATCTGAACTGGTTTTTTCTCTTAGCAGGTTTAGTTTACTTTCAGACACGGGAAGATAAGATTTTAACATATTTACCTCACAAATGATGTCCTCATCTAAAACATCAATATCTTCTTTACCTTCTACTGAAAGTGCTGCACGTGACAGTGTATCAGCTATATACATCAATTACCTGGCTTGTATACAACAATCAAGTCATAGCATTGAACTTTTAGCATCATTCGCTGTAATCTTAAAGGAGCAGCAGTAATGGGCTTCCTAAACAAACATTCTAAGGGTTTGTGATCAGTTGCAACAGTTACTTTCCTAGAGAAAATAAATTGGTGAAATCTAGTGCAACCAAAAACTATGGCTAACATTTCTCGTTCTATCTGACAATAATTTGACTGAGTCTTAGTGAGCGCTCTAGACGCATACGCAATTGGATTATCACCACATAACAATACAGCACCTAAACCAGTTGAGGAACAATCTACAGACAATGTTATTGGCTTACTTGGGTCCTAATATGATAAAACAGGAGGAGATACTAACTAAGACTTTAAAGTCAAAATAGTTATTTGTGTAACTAGTGGTGAAAGTGGCACTTTGCTGCACACGAGAGCAATGTTTACGAGCTATGTTTGGCGAGTGTGGAATGATCTCGAGTGCAGCAAAGGCCTTTTTCACTCGTGTTACACATTATATTTTTCCTACAGTCACTATAAAGCATATCAATAATTAGTCTTTCAAACACTATACAACACGTTTTTAGGTTCAGCTGGCAACACAAAAAGTAGTACCTGCGGTCCGTATCACTCCGCTATTTTTCCTCGGCAAGAAATGTGCTACGCGTTTTGAGAATATAATTCCGTATGTTTTTGTAATTTGAAGTGGTTTCCGCGCCTAAAAAAATGCTTTTAAGGTGTTTTCTTGTTTATTAAGATCGTTGGAATGTTTTAAAAACGTGTTTCAAAGAAAAGTCCAGAAAGTTCAGAAATACCGAAATTATAAACACGGAATGACAAGTTAAATCGTAGTTATAATAGTCAATCAGCTGCTCATAGTATTATTATCTTTAAGTGTTGCCAACCTATTTCCAAGCGTACACGGATTACGTGCATAATAGAACCACACTGTTTTGTGTTGTTTCGTTGGAATCCTGATGTGCGGCAAAGTATAAACCGTACGACAAAGTATAAACCGTACGGCAAAGTATAAATATGCAGCAATTAGCAGCTTTCTGTACTATAAACAGTACAAGGAAGCCAACTTTGTCGGGTGACTGTAGGAAAATGCATTTTGTTGTTCGGCATTCCATTGAAATAAAACATCTTTATGTGAAAGAACTCGCAAAGGAGACGTTACAGTAGAATATTTGGAATAAACTTTGATAAGTAATTGGTAACTCCTAAAAATCTTTCCAAGTCTTTACGATCTTTAGGTATTGGCATCTCCTGTACAGCTTTAAGCTTTGAAGGATCCGGAGTTAATCCATACTCAGTAAACCGATGACCCAAAAACAAAACTTCACTTTCAGAAAATTTACATTTCCTAGAGTTAAACTTAATATTAAAATCCTTAGCTCTTTTTAATAGGCCTACTTCTTTTAACCTTAAATCATGAGTTTGCTTATCAGGAGCACCTATGCAAATGTCATCTATGTAGGTGACTACACCATCAATACCTTCAAATATTTGAGATACAGTAGAATGAAATACATCTGGTGCGCTTGAGATACCATATGGCAAACGAAGGTATCTATATCTACCAAAAGGTGTATTAAAAAACACAACTTGCTACTAATATTATCCAACTTAAGCATCCAAAATGCACTGCTTGCATCAAGAGTTGAAAATATCTTACAATTATTAAACTTTGATGACACTTCATCTATAGTTGGCATTTGACAGTGTGTTCTTTGTATATACTTATTCAGGTTTCTTGGATCTAATACTACCTTTAGTCCAGAATTTTTTTGTTTATCAAAACTAAACTGTGAACCCATTCTGTAGGTTCATTTTCTTTTACAATAATTCCATTAGCTTCCATTAATTCAAGTTCATTTTTCAATGGATTTAACAAAGCGAATGGTACTCTACGACATGGTTCAATAATAGGCTTAGCATCTTCACTTAATGACAAATGAACTGTTGTAGGAATGTTACCAATATTGTACTAGTAATACTACCATCAAAAAGTGAGCTATATTCATTCAAAATTATACTAACAGAATGTGACTGTACACTTTCATTTTTTCATTACATTTTCATTACCTTTCATTACACTATGCATATTTTTCCCTAGAACAATATTATCTACACTTTGGTTCTAAGATCAGACAATACCTGACCGTTGTAGGCTGCTATAAGACCTAACGCGCGACAAGAATTTAAGCCTAAAATTTGCGAACATTTCACATCAACTATTACAAAAGTAATACAGAACATTTTCCTGTTGAAAGAGCAATCTAAATCTACAATACCTAGTACCGGTATTTTTTCACCAGTTAGTGTACTAAGTTTTATATTCGAGGTGCGTATTAATGCCTTTGATAGGCCTAGCCTATTAAACAAATCAATTGGGATGATATTTGTCTGAGCACCTGTATCTATTTTAAATTATATTGTGTGTTCCCTAATGTTCAAATTCCTTAGCCCATTCCTTAGCCATTCATTAGCCCTGGATTTACACATGTAATTTTTAGAAACAGAATCATTCACTGAACATATATTACTGATAAATAATTTACTGTACACTGTACTGCTGTACCTTCTAACGTTACAAAATGGTGTAGTCTTACGACGCGTTTCGTCAACACAGTGACATCTTCAGGTGATCCACTATCGCTTCGTCTTGAACTTTAGCACAAAACAGTCATAACACATATCACGAACACATATTTAATACATTTAAGGACCGATCGGTATTGTCGTCTCTGTGGCCACAACTCGCGTACGCACATGATTAATTCTGGGCGACGACTGCTGGATGGAGTGTTGTATGTGGTGTACTTTGCACCATGACGTCATTGCTCTTCTCCAGGTGTATCACGGTGTCGAACAATGCATTTCCTTGAGTATTAATTTTGTCATTCAGTACATTGTCTGGTTCACACTGTACTGCTTTATAAATTT